CTTTAGGGGTTGCTAAGCCGCGAATCTTAGCCTCCATAGACGTTGGATTATTCGACGTTATATATATACACATATTGGAATATATATATATATAGTATATACCTATACATGCATATATATATATATATCACTAATGTCTTCAATCACACTTGTTTTTTGCAAGCCCAGTGCCTGACAGTTGCTACATGAAAGGCTTGTCGACAAAAGATGTGAGCCGCAGCTGAGCATGAGTGAGCATCGGGCTCCCTGCAAAGGCTGGCAATGGACTGAGTGGCGTCGAAAACAATCCTGAATTAGGGTTTAGGTTGGGTACTGCCGCCCCTCAGTAACAGTTGTCATAATATGGTTGTATATAGCCCTTAATAGGACCCCTAATATAGACTGTTACTGGGTGGGGGCAGTACCCAAGGTTTAGGGTTTGAGTTTAGTGTCCAGGGGACGTTTGCTGGCTAGATCCTGTAAGGCTTCCATGAAAATGCGCTAAAATACGACCCCTTCAAACCTTCTCTTGGTCAATCCAATGTGAGTAGTGCTTTTTTGGTGGTAAAATCCAGTAAGATTGTATTCCTTATATAGAATACTATACCCCAAAAGGAGGTTATAATCTTACTCTATAATGGGTAGCATAGTATCCCCAGAGAAAATACTACTCATGTGAGAATGGGCTCAATGTTGTGGGCTGTGCTTCTTGGATTGCAGAGCGGGTCTTGGCCATGTACAACCACATGGGACAAATTCTCTGGTGGATCTCTAGAGACACCAAGGGGTATATGCGGGATTATCAGGGGAGTATGGACTTCTTCTGAGGAGGTTCTGCATCACATACTGCAAAAAGAGAGGTAAGCCTGATCTAATCAAATCTGGCTTTCTAGTGTGGGTTTGTGGGCGTGACAAAAATAACGAATTCTATGCCTTTTATTAGGACTATATGAGAATTAAGGGTGACAAAACTTGTGTTTAACAAATCTATTCTGAAACCTACCCATGAAGAAAGAATATTTAAAAAGCCCTCGGGACTAATGAGCCTAGGATCTGCATCCTACCCACCTTCCAATCCCAAGGGTCCAAGTACTGAAATTCATAATCATATACTTTCCCAAAACCTGTGCTAGAAAACCAGTACTCAATTAATTCCTCAGCACCTGCTTATTGGGCACTCAGACCATGGACCCTAAGTCCTAAGCCGTAATTCCTTCGTGTATATATCCCTACATGGCCTTGTATATCCCTTCAACGGAACCTAAGTATTGGGCACGTAGACCCTTATGAGGAACCCTAGGAAGCATTTAACTATAGGCATTTACCTTCTTTACAATAAGAGGTCCTACCTCAATTTTTAAACGCTTGGGTTTAAATGCTTCCTAGTCCCCCTAACCTTACCGTCTTGCTGCCCTAAACCCTAAACCCTAAACCCTTAGCGTCTTGCTGCCTCGACTCTGCGTGATCTGCGGCTCAGAGAGATCAAAGAGTGGCGCTAAGTACTTCGCCCATGAGCCGAGCTGCTGGCAAGTCTCAGATGTCGCCTGCGTTGGTGGTTCAAAGTTTGGGGCTTAGGGAAGTTTAGGATACGTGTATATATATATCATATATATATATATATCTATAGCTGCTAGGGTATAGGAATATAGGGTTCGGGATTAAACGTCTCTTGCTAGCCCCAATCAAGATGGAGAAGCGTATGGAACTCGAGTGGCAAGTGAGATGGAAGCCGGGTATCTATGGGGAGCGCTTACAAGATTTAGGGGGTGTACGGTATGGGGTAGGATCTAGCGATTATAGCCTACCTACAACTGTACTTGTGACGCCAAGTATAAGCCCTGCAAGTCCGCGAATGTGCTTAGGAGCTACAGGTATTCTTGGGTTGTAGGTATCCATGAACCACTAAGTACGTACCTCAAGAATCATTTGATAATGCTCACTAGTCAACCCTATTATGCCTACACGCAAGAAAAAAGGACATTGGCAACTCTGTTCATGGACCAAAATAATGCGCAACGTTAAGCGCAGTCCTTTCAAGCACAAGTCCCACTTTCCCAAGGTTGTACGCCTCCTCACTGCAGCTTCCTCAGTAGGAGAACCGGGGAGGAATTCACACCACTTAATGAAACAAAATCCCCAATGCGGACGGTGGGAGTTAATCAAATGTTGTAGCTTTCAGGAAAGGGCATTGATGGCCTTATGGCTTACAAGGCTTATACATCCCGAGAAACTGCAGTCTCCCGTTTAGGAGCACCCCCGCTCTAAGCCCTAAACCCCAAACTGAAAACCCTAAACCCCAAACCCTCAACTCCAAACCCCAAACCCTAAGGCCTAAACACAAAACCCAAAACCCATAACCCTTCAAATCCCCAAAAGTACCAAGCAGACTAAAACCCGAAAGCTTTTAAAAACATCCCCAGGCTACCCTGTAGCCTCAGCAACGACGGACCCAGCGCCAGCAGCAGCAGCAGCAGCAACAATTGCCCCAAAGCCAACGAACTTGAATGCTAAGGCCGCATGGCAATGTAATGGCATGCGGGTGTTGCTCCCGTAGATCCCTACAGGAAATTGGTAGTTAGGGCTTTGCCAAAAACTAAACAGATGGCGATGTTGGCTCAAGGTCTATCATCAATACTTACACCTGGCGCCAAAGCCCATCAACATTACCTACATTAGACTAATTATTCATGTCTTGGTGATTGAATGCAAAGAATCACCACATGTCTGTGTCATTCGATGGCCAGCTGTTATATAGTATTTTCGGGGACTGAGTGGTGGCTGTTTCAGAGATTTGTGGGTTCCTGTTCTTGACCTAAAGTCTACAATAGGGACCCTAAACCCGACACGGACTAGACTATCTTGGGGCTATGAGGCCATGCAGGCCATTAGCTAGGCTGCGATGACCGCCCATGACCCTCAGCTTGTGCTTATTTTTCTGGCCCTCGGAGACCTAGGGGGCAAATGTGGAGATTGTGAGGAAATTGCAGGGCTCCCGTAACCGTTCAGACGTTGTGCGAAACATTCACATACATGAAGCATCTGTGCAGCGTGGCCAGCTGTCAACCAAGACAGCTATCAAAGGTCCAGGTCTCCGAGTGCGCTTCTGAACTTACGATGCGAAGTCAAAAAGAGCACACGTCGCAGCAATTAGGTCTTCCCGCAAACTCTAAGCCCTCAACCCTTGAACCAGTTTGGATGTCTTGCGTTCCTAAGTCATCAGCGCTGGGGCAAGCTGGGCTCTAAAGTCGCAAACCACAACTTCGTAGCCCTCTACTATCCCTGCCCTTCAATCGGGTCTTTTGATCCGTAGACTGCGCCATACCCCAAAGCGGGCCACATCACCTACGTAATTAACACGTGTTATCCTGACAGAACGTGCAAAGAATGAGATAATGTCAGGCTGGACAGCCTCTTGCGCCAAAATGGCTCCCCTGATCTTGAGAAAGCCCATATTCATGGAAGCAACCCTGAACAAACAGCTCGTTGTGCAACGCTCTGAAACCAGAACAAGCAAACCCTTTGCAAAAACTGGCTCTGATTTCCACATAAGACCTTAGGGTTGTAGGGTTGAACCTTAAACCCTAAATCCTAGTACCTAAGCCCGAAACGTTTAGACTTCAGGAGGTGCGGGTTCAAGGTGTAGGTTCGGACTCATACCCCTGAGATTGTTATCAAACAGTCGGGCCTGCTAGCATTCTTAAACCATGCACAATAAGATATGTGAGCTATAGTCCGAACTCCTAGAATCCCCCCTTAATAAACCCGTTAGTAGTCCCCTATAGAACCCCCTTTAAGGAGGGTAGACTATAGCTCATGTGGGGCTTTGCGAAAGGGGAACCCTGAGATTCCAGGGGTCTCTGTCCGTAGTATCTAATCAAGATCATGTCGGGTTAGTCCGGCTCAGTTGCAGTTTGGGGATCCGGTAACTTTGGGTTTAGAGTTTAGGGTTTAGTGATTAGGGTTTTGGGTTTAGGGGTTAGGGTTTAAGGTCTGTAGGGCCTAATGTTGACTTCACATTAAGAACTGCCCCTACATTTATAAAATCCCGGGCCTGGAACACAATTACAATAACCCCCACAATTACAATATCCCCCAAACGCGTACTTTTTGTCGGGACAAGGATTTCAATTAGATTTCAATTAACTCTAATAGGCTTTC